TGTCATTTGGAAATCAAGGTGCCAGAGTCTAGAGGAAGACCGGGGAGAAGGAAATGCCAAAATGTCAGAAGTCCAGTGTTATGTTCCCACAGTCAGTGATGTTCTGAGGTGCCATGTCAGCTGCTGCTGTTGGTCCACTGTGTTTTATCAAGGGCAGGGTCAATGCAGCTATCAGGACATTTTGGGGCACTTCATGCTTCCATCTGCTGAAAAGCTTTATGGAGATGAAGATTTCATTTTTCAGCACGACATGGCACCTGCTCACAGTGCCAAAACCACTGGTAACTGGTTTACTGACCATGGTATCACTGTGCTGAATTGGCCTGCCAACTCTCCTGACCTGAACCCCATAGAGAATCTGTGGGATGTTAAGAGGAAGTTGAGAGACGCCAGACCCAACACTTTGGATGAGCTAAAGCCGCTATTGAAGCATCCTGGGCCTCCATAACACCTCAGCAGTACCACAGCCTGTTTGCCTCCATGCCACGCCGCATTGAAGCAGTCATTTCTGCAAAAGGATTCCCCACCAAGTATTGAGTGCATAACTGTTAGGGTTGTCAAAAGTATAGTATAGTATAGATAAGTTGTATCCGGATACGATACTCATTTTCAAAGGTATCGATACAGTGCTACCACCAGTGGCACCTAAACAGTCATTCATTTTATGTGCAGATTAGAGGAAAATGCACTTTCTGAACACTGTGTGATTGAATAATTCTGTGCACATTTCGGTTTCAGACTTTTTTCTGTAACAGGTGCAGCTGCTGAGAATTATTTTTGTTTTTGTAAGTTTTTTATCAAGCTTGCTTAATGTTGTGCACAGCATACAACCTCAAAATATTGTTTATTGTATTTATCTATTTATTGTATTTTGTTTATTAATGAAAAAAATTCTGTTGAATTTTGGAGTCTTTGTTTTTGTCCTTGTGGTATCGAAAATGACATTGAGTATCGAATATTTTACTTAGTTGAAAAGTTTAGTATCGTGACAACCCTAATAACTGTACATAATTATTTGAAGGTGGACCTTTCTTTGTATTAAGAACACTTTTCTTTTATTGGTCGAATGAAATATACAAATTTTGTGATATTGGAATCTGTTGTCTTAAAATCATCTGTTTTAAGACAATAAGACCTGAAATATTTCATTTAGTGTGAAATGAATCTAAAATATATGAATGTTCAAGTTTTATCATTACATTATGGAAAATAACGAACTTTATCACAATATGCTAATATTTTGAGAAGGACCTGTAGAAAATTTGCAGTTGAAATAGCTTCTTTGCATCAATTAAACATCCAAAAGTCAGGTACTAATAGTCGCACCCAACTGAAACCAATAACAAACGACATCCAGATGGAAATACTTTTTATTTTTTGTGCTTTCCCAAGGAAACCTCCTCTTTGACCCAGTTTTCACAAATGCTAAATTGCCTTGTTTTTTTTAAAGGGTGGCAAAACCAATTTGTTAAGATTATATCAATTGGTTATATAGGGCCAACGTTTCTTTGGATAACTTATTACCTGTAATTATGGAAAGTTGCATTTGTGCTATACTTTTGCCTTTCATTTAAAGAAACTGAGAGGGGAAAATACAAAAATGGAACAAAGTTGTAAGGAGATGGGTAACCTTTTTGGCACTGTAGTTTTCTTTTACAATGTTATTACCTTTTATTGTTTGTCTTATTTAAAAATGGCACAAAAAAAAATAAGATAAATAAGCCTTCTATTTAAAAGACAAAGAGTCAGTAGAGGTTTGGAAAGCTGGTGATTTATATTTCTTTAGTTTATCACAGAATGATGATTAGTAGTTGTTTAATGTCAGAAAACAAAGGTCAAGCATTCAGTCCATCTTTCCAGCTGAATCTTAAGTGGTTATAAGGAACCAGGCTTGGTTTAAATAAAGTGCATTCTGTGATTATGTCGGCTGGTGGAAACATAGATGGTTTCTTAAAGGAATAAGCGACACATTGGGTTCATTTCTTTGGCTCATATTATTGCTCTCCTGGCTGTAGGTGTGAACGCTCCTCCAGGTGGGATAAAATTTCCAGACAGTGCTGGAGCCTTCCATTATGGCGAGAGCGGCAAGCTGCTGTCCGTCACCAGTGATCGCTTCATCCACTGGTGAGTTCAGGGTGACACATTGTGGGCTTTCCTAAAGGGATGTTATCACTATTAGAAAATCACAGTTGCTGCTATTTCCTCAGTGTTTTCTCTGTGTTGCTGTAGGTGTACGTCAGGGGACACGGTGCAGCTGGTGGAGGAGTCTCTGGACACCAACCTGCTGAATAATGCCATCAGACTGAAGTTCAGCTCCTGCAGCGTTCTGCCTGGGGGAGTCACCATCCAGGAGACCCTAAATAACATCATCATTCTGATCTGCACCAATCAGAGCGTCCATAGACTGGTGCTTCCCCATCCTGCCCGCATGTACCGCAGCGTGAGTCCACTTAAAAATGTTTCCTGCTCCTCCAGAGCTTCTGCTGCTGAATTCCAGATTATTTTCAGACCTTTTCTGGAGATGCTTTCTTCTTTGGATCAGATTTGTTGCTGGTTTCTTGCTGGTTGCTGTGGCGACGTGCTGCTGTGCATTATTGTGCATTATTGTGGATGTTTGTCACGTTTTTTGCATGCTCTAGGTTGTTTGTTACTGCAGAACTGTTTCCAGCATTTTGTTTTGGTTTGGTGTAATCTATATTCCTGTGTGTGTTTTATTTTTATCTTGTTTCATTTTGACTCCCAGGAGCTGGTCACAGAGCGCCACATGCAGTCCATCTTCACTGATGTGATGAAGCTTGATCTCCAGGACTCTGCACACTGTGCCTTAATCCCCGGCTTGGCTGGGCACACGGCCGTACCCGGCGCTGTGGTGGCATGGCTCAATTTCCATGGAGAAGCTCACTTTGCTCTGGCTTCACCGGCAGGAGGCATCACCGTGGTGACGCTGCCACCCCATGACACTCAGGGTGAGTCACTTGACCTGGCTGGGATCTAAGCACTTTAGGTTGAACAGGTGGTAGAGCCGTGAGCGCGTTCGTGTCTGCAGGCAGCGTGTCAGTGGTAGAGCTGAAGAGAAGTTCCATGATGAGGAGGATCTCCGGCTGGATGCCCACCGCCATCCGGGGGGATCAGAGTTCGCCGGACCTGGTTCTGAGTCTGGCGGTCCGGGAGGAGGAGGAAGATTCACTGATCTTCGCTCTGTGTCAGGATCACCGGCTGCGCATGTGGTCGCTCACGGTGAGTTTTAGAAAAAGCCTGTGATGTGTTGGATCATCTGATTCTGATGTACCTGCTTCTGTTTCTCTACTCAGGACCAAACGTGTCTTTTGGAGGCGGACATGTTGGAGTACATGCCGGCCTGTAAAGGCGTGAGGCGACTCTCTGGTCAGGGGCACCGACTGAGGGTGGCCTTCTCATCCAGAACCGGGCTCTGTCTCTGCGTGTACCTGGGCGTCCCACAGAGAGGACAGTTCATCGTCCTGCAGCTTGTTGGTACAGACAACAACCGCTACAGCCTGGAACACATCTCCTCTCTGTTCAGCACCCAGGTGGGCCACCGCAGGACTGAGGGTCCACAAACAGAACCGCCAGAGCCACTAAATACATAAAGCTGCTCCGGGGTATTTTTTTTCCTGTCATAAATGGACCAGATCTGTTTGTTCTGCAGGAATCTCTGGTGGACTTCACTCTGACCCCGACAGAGGTGTGGGCTCTGTGGCTGGACGAATCCAACTCCGCCGTGGTCAAGTATATCAACTTCGAACAGTAAGTAGGAACATTACAGGCTTTACTGTGTCTGGAGTTTTGATTCCAACCCGGTGCGTCTGTTTTACAGCAACACAGCGGGTCAGTGGAACCAGGTGTTTGTTCAGCCACCACCAGAAGAGGAAGTCCCAGTAGGAGTGGACCTGGACCCCAGGGTATGTCCAGCCATACAGCAGCACTGAACAAACCTAGAGAAATGATTCAGGACAGCCCAGTAGCTTTTTGAGTTCTTGTAGTCAACCTCTGGTTCTGAGCTCTCTTGGTCTATAGTTGGTTAAATGTGCTCTGTGGCTCCCGCAGCTTTTTGGCTGACAGCTCATCAGCTAAGATTCTTCATCTCTCTGCTATGCTGCTGTTTCAGGAGACCTACCTGGAGCTCCTCTTCTCACCGCTGCGCTTCACTGCATCAGCCATCGTCAGAGCCTTACAGGTGAGTCCACCTGTCTGCTGAGTGTGGCTGGAGTCCAGTGATGTTAGGGCTTCACGGTTCTGTGGCTTCTTTTCAGATCTTCCGAAGAGGATCAGAGAGGGTCTTGGATCTTTCCTGGGAGAATCTGAAGAAGGAGGTGACTCAGGCTGTGGAGAGTGAGGTAATTCTTTCATTTCCTGAGGTGTTTGTTCAGTCTGAGCTTTATGAAATTCGATCGCCAAGTTAGTTTGTTCGTAAAAAATAGTTTTTACCACTTAAAAATTTTATCAAAAGTGAAATGGAACCTGCCACACAGAGATCTGGAGACTGTAATCCATGCTTTTATTAATACAAGATTGGATTACTGTAATTCTTTATATGCTGGCTTGGACTACTCACTTTTACACCATCTGCAGTTGGTACAAAATGCAGCTGCCCGTCCTCCTTACTGGCACACGTCAACGTGACCACATGTCACCTGTTCTAGCCTCGTTGCACTGGCTCCCGTTTGTTTTTAGAATAGATTTTAAAATTTTATTATTTGTTTTTAAAGCTCCTAATGGTCTAGCCCCCCAGTATTTGACTGAGCTTCTCCAAATCCATGCCCCGGCCAGAACCCTGAGATCCTCTAGTCAGTTGCTACTGGTCATGGATAAAACCAGACGTGATCGTGCCTTAATGGCACCAAGACTCTGGAATAACTTGGCATATTCGATCGGCAGGCTCCTAAAAGCACACTTCTTCTCTCTGGCTTTTAATCAAGTCTAAGATAACATTTAGCTAAATTTTGTATTTTATTTTAAAATTAATTTTAATTTAAACATTTATCCTGTTATATGTTATCTGCATTAAAGTTTTCTTTCGGCATTGTGTTTATGTATTTTAGCTTTCAGTTTTTATTTTATGCTCTGCAACTGTGATTTCTGTACAGCACTTTGGTCAACCCCGGTTGTTTTAAATGTGCTTTATAGATAAAGTTTGAGTTATGTTAAGTTACGCCTACATTTACATTTACCCCCTGATTAATAAGGAAAGCAATAAGTAAAAATGGGGCTACATGTCTTTGGCTATGCTCAAAGTGACCCTGCTCCTTTCCTGTCATATAAATTGAGTATCACTACAAGCATGCTTAGTGTGAGGGATTGCATTGGAGTCAATGAGTCGATGCAATCAACTGGTTTTCCTTAGATAGAAAACTTTGAATCAATTTGACTATATGATCTGGTTGAACTGTAAAGTGCCTTGAGATAACATGTGTTGTGAATTGGCGCTATAGAAATAAACTGAATTGAATTGGATAAATAAATGGTGCTTTGCGCAAAAGATTAAGCTACAGTTGGCTGATTCTTAGCTGAGGTTTGTTTGTTAATGCAGGTTTGTTCGTTGCGTAGAGACTGCCATTTTCACTACCGCGCCGCGCTATTGGCAGCCGTGCTTCTGTTATCAGCTATCTTGTTAGCTATCTGGACCAGAAACCTTTTCTGTAAATATGCATTTCAATATAAATCCCCATTTCCATCTAACTAAACTGGCCATCCCCACTCCCTCGACGGGAACCTTGTGTGTTGCTAATGCAATGCATTCTGATAAGCAGCAAAAGAAATCCGCCACTACTCCGGAGAACTATAACAACAGATGATTTTATTCCTTTTTTGAGAACAAACTTCCCACTCACCTGTAGTTATGTTGTTGGCTGTTTCGTGTGAAGCTTGTCAAATTGCAACCTGAGAGTAAATACTGCAGCTGCAGAAACCCTGGGGACCCAAAAATTTGCCATTATTTAAAAAAAAAAAAAAATTATATATATATATCTTCAAATCCCCGGCATCACAAAAAATTCTAATTAATGCAGAACAAGGTCATCTTCTCCTTCTTATAGCTCATGATTCTATGTGTTGGATCATGTGGATGTTTAGCTGTCCGTATCAGAAACTGACACGCCATCCATGCCCTGACCTGTATGCATCTTGCCTCTATGCCCAAGATTACAGATACATCTCCTCTATCAGTCTGGCTCCAAGATGTGCCCATATACTGTGTATCTTTAAAAGACAAGAAAGCTGTCCTATTTAGATGACCTACTTACACAAAGTGACATCCACAATGTGAAGGAAGGCGATCTACTCTCTCTTTCTGGCTAACAAAGTAACAATGCACTTGATGTATAAAAGAATAAACCTAACATGATCTCAAATTTAATTGAGATTGCTAATAAAAAAAAAAATTAACGGTTACCTGATTGCATGTCTAGTTATGCAACATATTGTTATTACCATTCAACTGCAAATTACTAAAGAAGGGGTAATTGATAGTGCCTGTAAGGACGGTGGACAATGTTTTTCTAAATTTCTAAAATTTGTCTCTAGTTTTATGTTTTTGGTCCCAGTCCAGCCCTGCTGGTGGATCAGTGTTAAAACAGCAGGACATGTTGTCTCATCAACAGTAAGTGGCGCCATTGCTTCTGGTCTACCATGAATCTGCTAATCAAGAAAACTCAGTTTCACCATCTCAAAGAGCAAAATGGAGTAAAGCCGTACAGAAGAAGGCCTGAGTTTAACATTTTCACATGAACAAGCCCATGTAACTAACTCTGTTTAAAACTATTAAGTAATGATTATTAATGACGCATTTGGAAAGGACTGTTTACTGACACAAAGTCTAAAAGCTGAAAAGATTTTAGTGCATCTCTAGTTCGGGTTCTGCTTTCTGAATTCCTTTCAAATGAGAATTTGTTTATCTTGAGTCTAAAGACAGTGAAATAAATGCAAGAATAATGTAATATTTTAGAAATGTCTTTTAGGTGAAAGACACAAGAGCAAAAGAAAAAAGGTTTGACACCTAAAAAGGAGTCAGATTTAACCCCTAAAACAACTTTCTCTTTCTAATCCATCTCTGACTCTCCTGTTGCCCATGCAGCTGCAGAGCAGCGTCACAGAGTTCGAGTTCTCTCAGGAGGAGTACCGGCAGCTGCAGGTAGAGTTCTGGTCTCGCTTCTATTCCTGCTGTCTGCAGTACCAGGAGGTGGAGTCCACTCCTCTGGGCCTGACGGTCAGCCAGAACACGGGGATGGCCTGTCTGCTCCGTAAGGTGAGTGATTTAACACCGGCTGGAAAATGAATCTGTGACGGCAGGAGAACGCTCAGATTAGCTGCTGACTGATGCCTGATTGGCTGTTAGATTGTTTTCCAATGAAACAGTCCACCAGGAAAACAAACATTACATTCCTCTTATCAAAAAGAATATTGATCATAAAAGGTGAGGAACACCAGGATAAAAGTAGACATTTGTCATGTCTCCATATGAGATATGGACTGGGTTATTTGGAGAGCAGTCTAACTGATCTCTGGTATGTGTTGCCAATGTTTGTTCTGTTCTGTTTTTGCTTGTTTTTGAAGCTGATATTACTTTTTCATCTATTTACAAGATAAAAAAAAAAATGACACAATGATAGCAAATGTTATGCGTCTTAGAAAAAATGCATCAAATGAAATATCAACTTTGGGCAGCAAGCAGATGGAGCCCCAGTGCACGCTCTCATGTGATCTAAGGGCGTGGCTGCTGAATGCACCAATGAATCTGTGAACTTATGAGTTAATCAGTTGATGCCCAAAGGAGAGGAAATGCTAATATCAGCCTAATGTATCACATCTTTACTCTTAAACAAAATAATAGAGTTCTGAAATCTCTGTCATTTTTGCAAAAGTAAATCAACAGAGTTTCTGTTTAATCCATTTGAAATAAAACAATGTAAAAAAGTTGCTGTCTATTGGTTGTTTTTAATGTCTTTCCTTAACTGATCCAGTCAGGTCTGCGCCTTTATTGTTATCCATGTTTCACAGTCAGATTGGTTTTAACAGCTTTTGCCCCTTTTGAATCGATCCATCCATCCCATCTGTGTGCTCCAGGGCTTTGTGTCCTTCCTGCTGCCGTGTTTTGCTGTGGATCACCTGTACCTGTCCTACGACCAGTACCTGCTGTCTGAGGAGGACACGCCCATTAGTGATGGTAACCAATCACTGATGCTCACGGGTTAAGATGTGACCAACCTGTGGAGTCCACGATAAGCATGATGTATCACCAACATATCCGCTCATTCAGCTCACCCCTTTGCCTCTGTCTCAGACCCTGATGTGGCCCGAGACATCCTGCAGCTGGTCCGGACCCTGCGGCTCGTCAGCGACGCCGTCTCTGCAGAGATGGCGTACGAGATGGAGAAGGCGCTTGAATATCTGCAGACTCCTGAGAGAGCTGCGGAGCTCGTCCTGGAAAACATGGTGTGCAGCGACAAGTAAGTCTCCTGACGGGTAGCCTAGAATCTGAACCTGATCCTAGAACTGGCACTTAGACCCAGAAACCGAAACCAGGTCACCTGACTTGTAGCACCAAAGACGGTAAAGTTAGAAATCAAAAGATGATTAAAAGCCAGAATCTTTTTCGATATTCAGTGGTCAGACTTTTTAAAGACGTTTTCTAGCCAATTACCAAAGAGCATAAGGAACTGCTGCCCTGTCCTCTGTAGTGATGGCGTAATCGAAGACATCCAGAACAAACTGCAGGACATCCGGAACCCCATTACTGCCATGATGGCTCTGCTGAGGGAGTTGGACCTGGAAACAGAATCAGAGATTGGTGGAGACGGACCTGTCGCTCCAGGTAGGATGGGTGAACACAGGTGGGCATATGGTGGTCATTGTTTTTAGTACATTAATCCCTACCTGCTGTCTTGCAGGTCTGAGTGTCAGGATGAGCCTGTCTCAGCTGTACGGCAGCAGCTGTGCTGTCTCCGTCGTCTGTCAGGCTGTCTGTCACATGGCCATGACCCGAGCGCAGTTCTGCAGAGACATGTTAATACTGCAGAAACTCTACCTGCACTTCGGAGACAATGTACGCTCTGACTGAAGCATCACATCCAATGCAGCTCTTTTAAATTACAGCCTGAGCAGCGTGCTTCTGTTTGTGTGTGTCCAGGTCTTTCTGGGTGGGGGGGGTCAGCTGCTGCAGCTCCAGCAGGATCTGATCCCTCGGACCTCCCACCTCCTCTCTTCCTATCACCTCCTTAAAAACATCAGTCAGAGTCTTGCTTCTCCTGTTCCCATGGATACCATGTGAGTACGAGCAGCCAAAGATGCACAACCTCCTCCTGTAAGATTTGGTAGTTTTGACTCTTTTCTCTTTTAGAGATGTGAACCTGCAGCACCTCACTGCACTGGAGCTGTCGGACACGCCGACGATGTCAACGGGTCGATCAGGTTAGAAATTAACATTGATTTGCCTTCATTCTGCTGCAACATCCAAACCAAACTACAGCTACCAAACACTGCACTGTTTTATCTGAGCAATGATCAAACAGAGACCTTCAGCTGGATTATGTTCAAATAAAACACTGCTAAATATCTAAAAGCACAGGAGAGTTTAGTGTTGATTGATCAGATCTGTTTGGGTTTGAAGATGAGTTTGTAACGCCGCTGTTTCTGCAGTGCTGAACCCTCAGACGGTCCTGGAGCTCTTCTATCAGACAGCAGCCAGAAGGATCATCATCTCCCACATATTTTCCCAGCAGCATACAGACTCTCTGCTAGTCTGGAATCACATGATCTCTCACGTGGTCCAGCTGCTCGCTCAGCTGCTGTATCCTTCATCAGAATGTAAAGCTCTTCTTGCATTCCTTTACATATGTGCTCCCTCACACCAGGGTTTGTCTTAACTGATGTGTCCCAGTTGGCCCAGTAACCCTGGCTTCCAGTTCCCAGAGTGTCTGATGGCCAACTGTCAGTTCACTCAGCTCCAGGTGAGTCATGTTTGATCCTTGATCATTCCTGATCACTTCACTGAGCACTTAAATAGAAAATACCGTAATGATCTTCACCTATAGGTGGAATTGGTCCTAATTGGGATTTAAACCCTCCTCAACTGAATGACATCCACAGTATCTCTGTCAGTCTCTTCTGTTTCACCTTTTTTTTCTGTCTTCTTACAGGATTATGTTCGTCTGATCGGCCCGTGGTGTCAGGTGAACATTGGTTCATGTCGCTTCGTGCTGGCTCAGTGCTACCTGGCTAACGGAGAGGGCCACAAGGTATGCAAACATCCTGCCGCATCCCGATACCTTCAGCCCGCTCCCCATGAGACCTTGGCATCACTTCCTGCTGTGTTTTTGTGTGCTCCAGGCTCTGAGATGTTTCCAGGAGGCGGCGACAGAGGTAGAGAAGGAAGACTTTCTAATGAAGCTGACCGGAAGTGAGGACGATGAGGCGGCTGCCAGTCCGAGGTTACAGTACTACAACAAGGTAAGGACGATCCAGGGTTAGTTGTTTGTGGAATCGTCCGTGGGAATCTGCTCTTACCTGCTCTTCCTGTGTGATCAGGTGCTGAGGCTGCTGGAGGACGTAGGGCTGCCCGAGCTCATCATCCAGTTCGCCTCTCTGGCTATAGCAGAGGCAGAGGATGACGTCCACTGTCAGGTATGAGTGAGCAAACCAGGGTCATCACCAGCATATTTCAGCTGCTGGAGTTGATTCACACGTATCGGCCCTTTGACTCACTTTTGGGCTCCCAACCCCATGGTTCTGTCCAGGATAACCATTCGTTAAACTGAAAATTGTTCAAAATGACGCTGAAAATACGATGGTACGCAGTATTTTAAAAGGTGTAACAGGATACTGCAAAAGCAATCTAGTTATAAGCAATTCTTAAATCAATTTATATACCCTTAATTTGGGTAGGCAAATAAGAGGATTTGCTAATGGAATGAGTGTTATTTACTGTTAAAATAAGATAATTAAATAATATGCACTTACAGGGTTCCTGCGGGTCCTTAAAAAGTCTTAAAAGGCATTGAATTCTTCAAAATAAAACTAAGGCCTTAATTGCTATTAAAATGTCTTACATCAGTCTTTCATATGTCTTCATTTTTAAAACATCATAAATAGGATTATTTTTATTACGATTTTTTTTTGTAATCTAAATAAAACGTTAAAATTGACAATTTTATTTATTTATTTTTTTTAATTAAAAAAAAAAATTGTAAAAATGGCTCGCCATTATTGGTTCCGTCCCGATAGTGGAACCAATAAAAGCGTTGTTGCGGCCGGGACATTTGGGAGATGCACCATTAACTTTTTGTCTGGAAAATATGAGCAAGTGTAAATGTAACGAAAATTGTCTCCAGCCAAGAGTTTTCTCCGTGGCTAAAACCAGGGAACATACATGAGTCACAGTGTATTTTGTGCAAGAAGTCATTCAAGCTTGGAACGATGGGAGTTAAGGCAGTGGAGTCACACATGTGAAGCACGAAACACAAAGCGTCAAAATCGAGTTACCGAGAAACACCAAATCAAACATACTAAGAAAACGATACAAAGAAAAATAGCTGCAAAAAAGACTTAGCACTGGTTATGTTGTGGCTTTAAAACAGATTTGTTTTGTTCGCTGCTAAAACAAAGGTTGTGAATTCAGTTAAATAATTGTTAAAATATATCTGTCATTTGTTTGTTTTTCTTCCTGTATGAGAATGTTTTCAAAATTTGAAACATTAGTGCAGTGGTTTATGTTATAATAAACCTTTGGGTTAAGTTGTCGCAAGCGGCTTTTTCTTGTTTTTCTTGTGATTTTGGTCTTAAGTTTTTATTTCAATTGGCATTAAAAAGTCTTGAGTTTAACTTGCCTTATGCTGTAGGAACCCTGACCTAAAATAAGACAATGCGATAGTACTTCCCCAATTTAAATGTAAATTGTCTTATTCCAAAAAGGGACTTACTTACCAGCTCAATTCAAGAAGAAATGCACATATTTTAAGAAAAAAATTACTTGTTTAGATTTCAGTGGAGAAGGAAAGGAAGAACAATTTGCTTCATTACTGCCCCCCAACCCCTGCTTCCCTGCTACACTCCTGGTGCGAACCCTGACAAACAGGCAAACATGTCAGTGTGTTTCTCTGCCTGCAGGCGGCGCTGTGGACCAGAATCTTCAAACATCACCTGGATCTGGGACACAACAGCGAAGCTTATGAAGCTCTTACCCAGAACCCTGACAGCAGCATGTAAGTTTACAGACACCAAGGACAGCAGAATAGAAGCCAGCTGGTTTTAATGATCCCTGCTCTGCTCATGTTTTTGGGTTGGGTTTCTGTTGGACATAGTTGAAGTCTCTGCGGTACACAGATTGCAATCAATGTCTGTTTCAGAGGGAATTGTTGAAAATCCTGTTTGTTTTCCAGGCAGCTAGATTGTCTCCGTCAGCTGGTCGTGGTTCTGTGTGAACGATCCCAGCTGGAAGATCTGGTCCAGTTTCCATACATGAACCTGCATGATGAGGTGAGAACACTGCTGTCAAAACACAGGGGACCAAGAAACCCAGAACATTTATAAATGAGGTTCAGGTGCATCCGTGTCTTCCTGGAGTGTCTGTAAGAACTCATCTAGAGTCAGGATCCAGTATGCAGATACTGAATGCAGCTTTATTGGAGGGCTAAGGTATACAGGTAGTGGATGTATGAATCTTGAACGTGGTCTAAAGAAAAACACAAATATAATACTAAATACAAATTAAATATCAGTAAGCATAAAGTAAATTACCTGCACATTCCTACATGGATTGAATAAACCCAAATCACATAATCATGCATACATGTTAACTTAACAAGATAATAGTCAAACAGGATTAAATCTCAGTTTCATGGCGCATAAAGGGTAAATACCAAAACACAACTATAAAGCATTTTAATATAAACATTTAAACGTTCGGGATAATCCCAAAAATGAAGGATATTGACTATAAACAGGCTTTAAAAGCCTACTGAAGCTGCAGCTACATGCTAGCCAAGCGGCTAAGCAGAGGTTATATAAGGAAATTTCACCACACATAAGGCATAATAAACTTGCATGTCATCAGCTATACAGTTGTGACATCCACTACCATGCATAGGTGATATCCTCTTAACTCAAACTAATTTCCCTGCAGCTGCTGACTGGTCCAATCCTGCTGGTCTCACTCTCTGCACGCAGCAGAGCGCTGTACACCAGTAGATTACTCCGCTCAAATAAATAGATCCACTTGTTTGCATTATCAGTCTTTCTAACAGGGGGCAGGGCTGATATACTGATCTGTAGAATATCAGCTGAGATCAGTAATCAATGGTTTCCTATGGGGCAGCCTGATGATGAGGTTTCATTTATTGATCAATGACATTGTGGTCATGTGTTCCCAGGTGGTCGGCATCATCGAGTCTCGTGCTCGCGGTCTGGATCTGCTGACGCACAACTACTATGAGCTGCTGTACGCCTTCCACATCAACCGACACAACTACAGGAAAGGTTGGATCCAGAAATCCGATTTAGCACCACAACTGTCACCCAAAGAGAAGCTCTGAAGGCTCTGTTTGTCTCTCAGCGGGGACCGTCATGTTCGAGTTTGGGATGCGTCTCGGTCGGGAGGTCCGGACTCGCCTCGGTCTCCAGAAACAGGTGAACTGTTACCTCGCTGCGCTCAACTGCCTGCGCCTCATCCGGCCCGAGTACGCCTGGATCGTCCAGCCGGTTTCTGGAAGCACGGTACGCATGAACTGCGCAAGTACTATCATCCCTACACATAAGGCAGCGGTGTGTGCATTTACCTGTGTCTCTGCCGCAGTACGGGCGACCCGGAGCGTCTCCGAAAAGGAACTCTGATGGAGATTTTCCAGCAGAACCAGGTATGGTGCCTTCCTGTGTGCAGGGCTTAGGGTGGGTTTCAGGTCTGACAGCTGATCCTGGTCTGTTTTGCTGCAGCTGCAGGTAGACGACAGGTGGACATCCTGGAGCTCCAAGACCTGGAGAAGGAGTACTTCCTGTCCCGCGCTCGCCTCACGCTTGCTCAGCACCACCCCCCCTCTGCAGCCATTGCAGGTAAGGGTACTCTGAGCCGTGCATTTCAGAGTCTAAAGCCTGATGGAGAAACTCCCCATACTGCCCAGTCATGTGACCCACAGTCCTGTTCCAGTAGAATTTTGAATTAACCGATTTACCTGATCTGTTGACCTGCAGCAGCTTCAGTAATTTCTGCAGAAGAGCTGATTTTCATCCTGTTGACTGAACTGATGGTTATGACTCTTTGATTCAGGAAGTGCGTCTGCTCAAGAACTGGTTCTGCTCCTAGTCCAAGCTGGACTCTTTGACTCTGCCCTGTCTCTCAGTCGCATCTTCAAACTGGATCTGAGTCCGATCTTTGACACGCTAACCTTTAAGTGAGTTTACAGACACCTGACCCTCCTCCTCACCACTCTTTCCACCTCTGTTCTCCTGTTTCTCATTTTTGCCTTTCTGTTTAACTGTCCAGGTGCATCCAGCTGCAGTCCGGGGGGGAGGAACCTCAGAGTGAAGCTTGGAGCTGGTTGGCTGCTAACCAGCTATCAGTTGTCAACACTAAAGAGTCTAGGTGGGTTGTTACCAATAATCGATCGGTTTAGCAGCAGAACTCCAGACTGGTCAGTAACCGTTGTTTTTGCCCTCTTCCCTCAGTGCCACCGACGAGGCATGGCGACTGCTTTCCTCCTACCTGGACAGATATCCTTCCACCAACGGGCAGCATCACCGTCACGTCATCCACAAGCTGCTTTCCCATGGTGTTCCGCTGCCTGATTGGCTTCTGCAGTCTTACAAGGTGAGAAGGGGCGGGGCTACAGATGGTAAAAGCTGAACCGGTATGTGACCTAAACTGTGGCGTCAAAACCCCAACAGTGGCTAAAACACTAGCTATGTTTACATTCACAAAATTTCTCAATCTGCTTGAAATGTATTTGGATAAAAAAATTAGATTGAATCATGTATATGAACATAATTTTGATCACTCTCACTGTTTCTAAAATAACTATTGCACAATTTAAACCAATTCTATCAGTTTTGGAGAATGTGTACCTACCTGGGACTGTATTTATGAACTGAAATATTAGGTTATCATGACAATTATTTGTTTAATAGCAAGCAGTAATCCCAATTAATTCAACATTGTTCCATTATTATTTTTTTTGTCTTTTATGTTGTCTTAAAAATATTTATCCAAATTCTAAACATTCGTTCTTGGTTCAGAAGGTCTGGTCTTGACTTCATCTCTAGCCTTCAGGACAGTTTGCCTTTGTTTACTTAAGCCTGTTTGCTCATGTTTACCCTTTAAGTTTATATATTTCTATTCATTTTTGGTTGCTTGTATGTGTTTTGTAGTGTATGGATGCTCCCTCACTGCTGCGCCTCCTCCTGAACTTTGACCTCTTAGAGATGGCTGCAGAGCTTGTGCTTGAGTATGTGGATGCCGTGCTCGGCCGGGGACACCAGTACTTTGGGATTGAGGTATGGATTCTCTGCCTCTATCTTTAGAGGCAGGTTGTCAGGTTTAGAGGTTGTCGGCAGGTTTGTTAAATTAGGCATTTTCTTGATGTAACTTTTTTTTATATCGAATACCAACATTGAGCTTTGAGTAATAACCTAAAATAATCCAATGATCGATCTGGGATATCAATATCTGATTTGGATATTTCTACATTGAACATTTTCTTTTTGTTTTGTGTTTCTCTCAGCGGCCGCTGTCGGCCACATCTCCGCCTGCCTGGCTTCCGTACACAGCCATCGATCAGCTTCTCCACGCTCTGAGCGAAACGCAGACACACATTAGCGTGAGTCACCTGTTCAGATCCCAGTACTTTTTTTTTTTTTTTTTACATACTTTGCAGCTCGAGTCTCACTGTGGAAATTTTCTTATTCCAGCTTCTGAAAAAAGTTCGAGACAAACTAGACGAGTATCACCGTGTTGTGCAACAGACAACCGAACGGCGACTTGCTGCTCAGAGACGCGTGGCGGCATGAGACAAGTTGCTGCCAACCTCATCATTCACCAGTTTTCTATTTGTTTTTTTATGTGAAAATATTCTAATTAAAGTGTTTTGTAATGTTTCATCTACTGTTGTTACTCATGGATGGAAAAACTTTAGATCTTAAAGGTAAATGGGGGGGTTACAGCCCTGGTGGATTGTTTTTTGTTTGTTTTTTTTTGGGACCCTAGGCTGACAGGAAAGGGGGTATGAGAGAGGGGGAGAAAAGAACCATAGACCAGATTTGAACCCAGGACGGCCGCGTCCTGGGCCCTTTATCAGACCGGGAGCCTGCATACATGGGATGTGTGCACTACGCCACCAAAGCACACCCCGAGCAGTCTGTCCTGCACCTTGGGTTTTCATTTCAGAAAATTTGATAATGGAGAACCCAGAAATGTTCTGGGGTGAATTTCTGCATAATCTGGATCTTTGGTTCCAAAAAGCCAGATAACGAATATCATGAGTCAAGATACTATTGCAAGTTTCTCTGAACGAGCTCTGGTCTGTTGCTGGGTTTGTTGAATCTGAGTCTGTTGCAAATTTTAGCTTAGACCTGAAACCTGGTAGGTGTTAAGAAATGTCCTTCACTGAAGGAACCTTTAGGTGTTGGAGAAGAAATACTCTATTATATTAGACACAGTTTCAGTTCTTGATTCATCTTTAAACAAAGCTGTTGATGGCAGCAGCACAGCTGATATTTCTGTCCAGGATGGAGTCACAGCCAAACTGGAACAGACCAGATCAGATGAAGCTACCATGAGAAAAAGAGCATAACGTTAGAGATAGAACTAACAAATACTGCAGAATGGGAGAATAGACATAGTCCCTATGTCCTCCAGCAGTCTTAACTGAAAAGGTTTTCTTCAAATTTACAGTTGACCTTTGCAGAGTGGAACCACCACCTATCTGATAAAGATTCATTAGAAATCCCACTGACCTGCAAGTATCAGTTAAGGCAATAACTCTGTCTCTACCATATTTTGTGATTTCAAGGAATATCTGTTTTTATAATTTGGGAAATCCTGGCACAATTGGAATCATAGGTGGTGATCACACTCAATGCTGCTTTATTAAATAAAGGTTTTTTATTTGTATTTTTTTTTACATTTTCTAGGTTCCAATTTTGATTTTTTTTTTTTTTTTGTCGTAAGTACACTGTGTGCAGCTGTTTGTGAAACTTTAAAGACAGAAGTTTCTCAATTAGAGCTGCATGCTTGCTCTTTCTCATATTAAAGCTGCAGTCTGTAACATTGAGAAGAGAGCAGATTTCGACTGAAAATTTGAAGAAAAACAGGTTTCACGCCACTCCCCCACCCTCTCTGCTTCACTCATGCCCCACCTCCAAGCTCCACCCCTCTCACAGCATCTGCGCGGCTACCGCATGCGACCAGAAGTGTCCAAGCAGCGTACGCGGCATGGAGTGTGATGGGCCTTTCAGATAGGAAGCGATTTGCGCTGCGCTGGCCGCGGGGTTCAGCGCATTTGCGCTGCGCTGCGCCGGCTGGGTTGCTGGGTCTAGTCGTTTGTTGTTCCAGCTTTTGGTCAGCAGAAAATATGTATCTGACCCGTGCTAAGAAGCAAGCGCTAGCACTAGCCCTGCTAGTTCGAAGAAAAAGAGCAGCAAGGAAGAAGAGGCTGTGGGTGAACAAAACCCTCAGGTCCAGAGAGCAGCTTGGGGACACGCCTACTTGGTTGGAAATGTGTTTCCGTGCTACTGCTTTCCTCCCGATGTCCTTGTACAGTCGCAAACTTGTGTCATATAGTTCGGGGAGTTCAGACACACACAGTATAAGCTTTTCCTCCATTTTGCTTCCTGGTCTTTCCAGCCGTTGGCCCGGTTTCTATTGGCCACGCGTGCATTCGTCACGCAAGCTCGCGAAGCGCTGCGCTGTGCTTGCGCTTTGCTCGACGCAGCGATAAACCGCCCTGGCGCGGCGCAAGCCATTGAAAAGAATGGGTTTCACAGCGCAGCAGTGCGGTCGTCGCAGCCTGTCTGAAAGGCCCATGATGCACACCCCATCAACTAAAGTCTTACAAATATATATATACAAATACAAATCTATATATACAAGTACAATTTTTTTCCCACCTGGGCTGTAAAGCAGTGTGCTATAGTAGTAAACCTGTTATCAT